GGGACTTAGTACCACTCCACAAGCAATAAAAAAGAAGTCCATATCAACGTCACGTCATAACGTTGAATCGATGCCCCATCTTAGGGGAACTGTCGAATGCATATGAGAATTAGAAACCTCTGCACAGTTGGAAGATTACGTAAGAACAAGACGTTCTGAGAAAAACTAATGGCCTCTTTTCTTTTCATATGACAGGGACCGCATAGAAAGTGACGCGTCCAACAATCGTTCTATCGTCGCGTGTCTATTCTTTGCAGCGGGAANAATTATGCGTCCAACAATCCTTCTATCGTCGCGTGTCTACTCTTTGCAACGGTAACGTTTTTTCGGGCCGTTGTCTTGCAACGATAGATAGGATACGCATATATACACAAATACAAATAGGTGGGATTTATGAAACAGGCCATTGAGATAGGCTCAGGTGTATGATATGCATACCAAGTATAACATAGATTGGTTTAGGCATTAATAGGGGTGGATTCACACACACACACACACACACACACATAGTACGGTGATCTCATAAACCTCTTATTTTTTTAAATAAGGAATGTAGGCTAAAAATAGTACCCGACAGCCTCTTAATGTAGAGCGAAATACGATAACTTTAAGGATAACGAAGTCCTTTCCGAAAATTCTTATGTAGTGGAAAATAAATAAGAAAATGGGTACAGGGTTGATGAATAACACACAGGTCACTCCTACTCCTCAAGAGTTTTCAATGTGGCAAAGAGCTAGCATCAGAAAAAAAAAACATGTAAAAAATATTCAAACTAATTTTCTTCACCCTTATATTAACAGCGTGAACAGCAATAATATTTATTATCACAAATATTACCTTACATTAACACTAACAATCTTTATGGAATGCATCCTGTTGCGTGATCAACCTAATCGATTATCATGCTCCGTCTAACGGAACACAGAAAATGTATAACATTCAATTTATTTTTATTAAAATCACAACATGTTTCCAGCATTTTATCTGGTCANACTAATAATTTCTGACCTTATTTTTACTGAAAAATACATAATTACATTTATTTAATAATATATTAATTTAATTATTATTTGTTTTGCAGATGTGGTAGGATTTTGAGTTCTCTGAATTACTGGTGCAACTACATGTTGCCTATGGTAGTCTAAGTCAAACCCCATCTCTCTCTCTCTCTCTCTACCATAATCTGAAGTCCTACCTTCACAATTCCTGCTGTACATACATAGTCGTTTCAGCGATATGCAACCGTACATGATTTAACACATACAACGACCAATTTGGCTTTAACAGTTCTTGTCGCCTCGCAGTAAATATTATAACGATGGATAAAAAGGTGCAGATTATATAGAAAAGGACAGAGGCCGCAGAGTAAGTGAGATAGTACTGCCATGTATATTAGTGACTTATAGACGGGGTTTTGGATTGGATGATTGGATTTATTCACACCTTATTCACACAATTCAGGACTACAGGCAATACAGCGCTACCGCTGATCTACGTGCTTTACAGTTCATCGTTACACACACATTAATATTCTCAGTTTTCACTTGTCGTATCCTGGCAACGGATTTATAACAGCCTGTCATTTCAAATCACACATAAAGTGCTCTTTTCACAGCCTAATTCCTTTCTTCCCATTATTCTGCAACTGCCAAATTCCAAAGAATCGATCAGTTCAATTCCTCTGCTCCCAAGCTCATATTCTGTCAGACTGGTGTCTCGAAACTCGGCTCACTTTACCAAATGACATCAAATTAACTATTCTTTATAACCACTTTGCACGGACCACGCAGAAAACACTTATTATTGGGAAGGCGTGGTTACAGCGCCGTTGCATAGCAATGGAAGTTACTCGATTGTTGCTTGCGTATTCCTTGCCGCGGAAATATGTTTACCGAGTCGTTGCCTAGCAATGAACGTCTATTCTGACATCATTATTCCGACATTCGGGCGTCATGTCACAATACGAAACGGTGGCCCTAAAAGAGGGCGTGGGTAGTTTGGGCTGGGAGAGCATGGGTAAGAAACGTAGGAGGAAAAGAGATAAGAAAATATTTTTTCGTAGTTACCAAACTACATAACGTCACATTCTGAAAGGCTGTTATGTCTATGGTCACAGCCGTATCTCAAATTTCACAGAACATTGAAATTTCCCTGTTGTTTATGTTTTATGGGGTTTATTAAAAGCGCACGTGGAAGATACCTCAAAAAGCTCATGAATGTGGTTACAAGAAAAATTGTTAAAATGCACAATTAATAAGCAATTTATTCAGATACTATTATTTATTTTGAGAGAATTCCGGGGTAGGAGAAGTAATTATGCAATCCTGTATAAATTACGAGCTGTATTGTGCTCGGAAAACATGTAAACCCATTTATGTGTCACCACTCTTCTGGAACGAAGTGAGTTGGACCTGTCATTACCATTTTACTGTACCCAAACAGGTCGGATAGGTTCTAGACCTTCCTACGCCCGCTTACCACTAATTAGTACAAGATTTAATTGAAACTGCCCAACCACACGACTTGGTGGTAGGGCTATACAATCCTATTCAAGATGTTGTTTACCATTCTATGACATATTACAACCCAGCTTCCGAATTGCCACGTTTGTAAGCCATGAAAATTCATCCGCGACGGGAAACAATCGCCAGTTTAGTCTTCTACGGTCTGTCAGAAGTTGTTAACAGACATTTGTTTCTGTGGCAACAGCATTATTATGAATAGGAGAAAGAATATACCGCCAAAGCAAATTAAAAGCCATAAATTTAGCACAATTCACCATAAAATCAAAGTTGTAAACGTCTCTAATCATATTTCCAGCTTCAAGCAGTAAATTCAGAGAGACTGAAGAGTCTAACTTACCTGCCCATTTGAGGCCGCGCCATAGCTCAAGCGGTTAGTCGCTGGCTTCCCACCGCGACGGACAGACCCGGGTCTGGTCAAGTGGGATTTGTGTTGGACAAAGTGGCGCTGGGGCGGGTTTTCTCCGAGTACTTCGGTTTCCCCTGCCAATCTTCATTCCAACAAAATTCTCTATCATCATAATCACCCGGGGTAGGCTACAATAGGCCAATCAGTGGCCGCCGTGCCGAGTGGATCCAGTAGGACTCCATCCCCCACTAAGCGAATACTTGCACATTTTACTATCATTGGCACCGTCACTACGATCTAACTGGTATTCTTCAAAAGCTTGCAGATTAAACAGTTTCACTCATATTTTCTAGGAATTTCTACTTTTAATATAACTGAACATGTTCGAAACGTGATCATGAATGTTACATATCTATGTGTTACGTATATTGTTCCGGGAAGCCGGATACGGCGTATATCTACAGTATAGTATAGTTTAATTTGAATACTTGCTAGGAATGCCGGTCACGGTAGCCATGGGGTCTAAGGCATGTACTGTCTTCGCTCGCTCAGAAGCCGGGATCGTGGGTTCGAATCCCACATAAGGCATGGATATTTGCTGCGTTTGTGTTGTCCTGTGTATAGGTAGAGGCCTTGCGACGAGCTGATCACTCGTCCAAGGAGTCCTACCGTCTGTAAAATAATCATGAAACTGAAAATCAGAGGCCAGGGCTCAATGGGGCTGTAGAGCCAGTGGGAGTGCTAGGGACACATCGCACGAAGCCTTGTCCTTTGGAACTTAAACTTGCTAACCTCACCATCATTCATGCGGTAATGTCTTAACCCTTCGGCCCAATAATACAATATTGTATTATGGTTCCATCAAAATCTTTCATAAGGCTTGGCCATAAAACGCAGAAACTCGTTTAGCGTTTCCTTATGACGATCCTACTCCAGCTCCAGCGTGAGAAGACTACGCCCAATATCCAGTAGCTTTCTCCTATTTAGGCCTCTGACGGAATCTGCAGCTAAACAGAACTTACATCTTGCATAGGGTGCGTGCACGTTCTACTGCGCATGTCCACAGCTTCTCTGCACACTAAAGCCACTTGTCCAGTTACAGAACTAAGTCCACTATTATTATTATTATTATTATTATTATTATTTGTAGAGGGGGTGGGTTTCCCCATGCACCGCGACTAATAATCTATTGTACATCCCCTTTTGATATTCTACCCGTCGCCATGCCCTGCCAGTACTGGTGCTCGCTATCAGCCCCGTCCTGCCAGCGAGATCGGCCACCTCTCTGGCAGTGGTACCCGATACTTCCCCATCTACCGGAGGAATTGGAAACTACTTGGGCGGGAAACTTTGCCTAATTTTGCTCAGAGGACTTGTTCCCTTATTTTTTCCGCCCTTAAAAATTCCACGACTTCCGCCGGGTTTGAACCCGCGTACCTTGAGTCATGAGGTGGGAACGTTACCCCTAGACTACGGAGGCCGCTTAAGTCCACTAACTACGGGATGTAATATTACGGCCACGAAAAAACTGAGATGCGTAATCTCCTCTTAGAGGAACGTAACATCCCACAGCACCTACTCGTTACCATTTCTCAGAAAAATATTTGGGCCCCAGAAAGGTAAACTAGGTAGGATATAATATACCGCAGAAGTAGAGGGAGAAAAAGTATTTGTAATAAATAAGTAAAATGTACATCAACATCTACTGTCTCCGCTAAAGATATTTCCATACCAGTCGTTGTGTTGTGTTGACGGTTATAATACAAAAACAAAAAAGAATTGAATACTTTGTTATTTATTCGTATACAGATCACTAGTGGCCTATTGCTGGATAGGGCTGAACATGCGACAAGATAGGCGATGGGTGTACAATTATGGCTGGAATATCTCCTGGAAAACTTCCACTTGGATGACCGAGAGATCGGAAGATAACACTGAGCTGGATCTTATATGGATGGGTTGTAAATATGGAAGGCTGAGGGAACATGTTCAGGATCGTGTCGAATGGTGGACTTTGGTGTTCATGGTGTTGAACCTTTGTCTTCTGATAGCATAGAATCAGTTAAATCAATAGGTTGTGCGTATTGTTAGCAGAGTATTAATTTTAGTAACGGACCTGTCATACATATTTAATACATAATTAATATATGTTTTTATACCCCGATGTAACAATCCCATCCTGTACTGCAAGTCTGAGGATGTACTCCTAACTGGGAATGGAGAGTCTATATTCATTCCAAACCGTCAGTCCTGTGTCTCCCTATGATGAAACCGGAAGAAACGACTGTTTAAGATGCGCTGCAGACTAAACTTGCTGGCTGAAGGAATCAAAGATTTGGGAGCCAAAGATATAAAGGGGCTGATCTCGTTAGGCTTGGTTCAGTATTGTGGTGACATCTTTTCTAGACGGCAAACAAATTTATCCTATTTTACAACTCGACAGTAGCTGCCGTCTTTCGTAAGAAGATGATGAAAGGAATCCAGGAAAAGCAGTTGTTCTAGAGGTTCAGTTTTCCTATTGTCACAAGTTCGAAGTGGATATCATGTCAGTCATCTGACAAACTCACGAAAGAATTCGATTTGAGGTTTTCACGACGGTGACTATGAAGATTGCCATCTTCTGGGATGTGGCGCCGTGTAGATATAGTGTAAACTGACGTTTCGGAGGAACGTATCGTCTCCATCTTCAGGGTAGTTGCAGCCAACTGCTCACGCCGGTTCCTCGCTCGCGGATTGTTATACCCTGAAGATGGAGGCGATATGTTCCTCAGAAACGTCAGTTTAGACAATATCTACAGGCGTCACATCTCAGAAGGCGGCGTTCTTCACGAAAGAATTCAACTACAGTAACTGATCTCACTTTGTATTTCCTGTTTTCTCAAGTGCTAAATGGACACCAATACAGTGATTTGAGAAAATCACGAAAGAGACCAGCTACGGCATCCTTTCTCGAGGTTCGATCCTATGTTGTTTCAAGCTGACGAAGCTGTGATGTGATGTGTTGCAGGTAGCTACAGGTCTCAGAGCCATGAACTCCTGCGTAGTCCTGCTGACGAGCGCCCTGCTGGTTGGGGCCATCCTCGTCCTTAGTGTCTCCCACACCGCAGAAAGTGCTCCACTGTCTAGGTAAGGACACACAGGGCCTTCACCGAGCGGTATGCTGGAACAGGTCAACAACAGATTCACCTGGTGACTCACATTTAATTCCCAAAATAAAAACGTATGCTTTCATAGTATTTCCTCTAGTGTATCTCTACCATCTTAGTGGGTTGATCTGGCTCAGGATAGGGACCAGTGGAGGGCTCTTGTGAACACAGTAATGAACCTTTGGGTTCCATAAAATGCTGGTAAATTCTTGAATAGCTGCAGAATTTTCGGCTCCTCAAGAAAGGCTCGGCTCCATTAATTAAGTAAGTAAGAAAGTGGGTCGCGCCATAGCTCAAGCGGTTAGTCGCTGGCTTCCCACTGCGGCAGCCCGGGTTCGATCCAAGGTCAAGTCAAGTGGGATTTGTGGTGGACAAATGGCGCTGAGGCGGGTTTTCTCCGAGTACTTCGGTTTCCCTTGCCAATCTTCATTCCACCAAATTCTCCATCATTATAATCACCCGGGGCAAGCTACAATAGGCCGCCGTGCCGAGTGGGCCAGATGGACTCCACCCCCCACTAAGCAAATTAAAAAAAAAGTAAGAAAGTGTATCACTACCTCTTTTTCATTCTAATCACTTATCCCTTAAACAGCTATGACGCAGTTAATGACGACAGTTATAGTACTACGCTCTTAACTTGTAACAATGTGACGTAAAGGAGCTGTTGTCGTCAATTTCATAATCCGGATTATTTAATATTTCTGACGTTTTGAAGTCTACTGTTGTAAGTACGGAACTGAAAACACAGCAGCACCAGTTAAATTCGAGGACAGGCAGCTCAAACTAATTTGGATAATCAGAGAATCGAATCCCGAGGCTATTCATACCGTCCTAGAGAATTTCCTGATAGTGCCTTTCAATAGGCTACGGCCGATTACAACCCTGCCCCCCCTTCCATTTCATCATGCCTAATCACTAAATTAGCATTTGCACCTCTTACCGTCCCTGCTGTACTATAATATTATGCATAATTGCATTTGCATATTATTCGAAAGGGCACGCGATAGCGTAGTTGGTTGAGACACTACGCTACAAAGCCGGAAAATCGCGGGTGCCATTCCCTATGAGGTCAATGGATATTCTTAATTGAACTAATCCTTCCAGCCGCACTATGGCCCCGGGTTCGACTCAGCCTCTAATAGAAATGAGTACCAGGAATCTTCCTGGGAGTAAAAGGCGGCAACCTGACCGCCATCTGTGAGCCGACTGTCAGAAAATGTGGGACCCTCAACGTCTCACAACCCTATAGGCCTCCGTGACCTGTTACAGGGATAGCTTTACCTTACGTTTACCATATAATTGGATACTGTATCGATGAGACTAAAGAATGCCGCGTCTTTCAGTAACTACAGAAGAGTCATTCACTTCAGTTCTATGAAATGTAAAATATAAAATAAGTAAATTAAACAGAGACAACCTTCTCTGAGTAATGAGACATTCTTCGGTTACTCAACAATACTGTTTTTAAGTTCAGAAGTTCTTTTTTTATTGCTAGTGGGGTGGGAGTAAATCACTTGTACTGCGGCCACTTCTGGCCTATTGTACCAGCCCCAGATGATAGGTGAGGGTGATTGTGGAGCAATTGGTGGAATGAAGAATGGCAGGGGAAACCGGAGAAAACCTGCCCCAGCTCCACTTTGTCCATCAGAAATCCCACTTGACCAGACCCGGGATCGAACCCGGGCCGCCGCGACGGGAAGCCAGCGACTAACCGCTTGAGCTATGGCGCGGCCTTAAGTTTGGAAGTTACACAGCTTCGAATGAGATGGAAGGATGATAATGAATTGTAGTGCAGAAATATTTTGAAGGAGGCAGTGGTGGCTTATAACCAGATATCGTCCCTGGTATTCGGCTGGATAGAGTGTAAGGATAATCATAAAAATCTTCAATTAGGAGTCAAATCCAGTAACACAGAATACAAATCAGGATGTTTGCAACTAAATAAAACTGCTCAGCACGCTCACCAGAATGTTTCAGTTAATTTATTCCGGACTGTCCAATGTTAAATATAGTACAGAAAAAATAAATATAATAAAATATTTCAGCTGTGATCTTATTCAGAGAATAATGTTTCTTGGATATATGTTCTCGCTAATTGTGTATTAGCCTAAATCAATATAGTTTTGCCCTTGCAGGTTAGATGTTTTATTTTGTAACCACCAGTCCGCCTGTAGGATGGCTCGACAATAATACCCACTGAAGTCTAATCCATAAGTATAAACGTGAAAAATTGAAACGAAATTAATTAAAAATTCTTCGCCATTATTCCTAGTAAAAAGAATAGGCTTTATTAACCCTGAAGTTTAGTTTGAATTAAGCAAGAACATCAAAACCAAATTTCTGCAGTATGTTTTCAACCTCCACGTTATGTTCAAGATAAGAGTAATGTGGTAGCTACTTACTTACTTACTCGCTCATGGAGCTGAGCCCTTCTGGAGGAGCCGCCAATTCTGCAGCTACTCGAGAATTCCCCAGAATGTTATGGAACCCGAAGGTTCACTACCGTGTTCACAAGAGCCCTCCACCGGTCCCTATCCTGAGCCAGATCAAGCCAATCCATCCCATCATATCTTTCTAAGATCCATTTTAATATTGTCCACCCATCTACACCTTGGTCTTCCCAGTGGTCTCTTTCCTTCTGGCTTTCCCACCAATATCCTGTACGCATTCCTCATCTTCCCCATTCGTGCTACATGCCCTGCCCACTTCATCCACCTTGACTTGATCATTCTAATTATACTTGGAGAAGAGTACAAGTTATGAAGCTCCTCGTTGTGTAGTTTTCTCAAACCTCCCGTCACTTCACCTCTCTTCGGTCCAAATATTCTCCTCAGCACCCTGTTGGTACTTCCTTAAAATTTACACTGAAACATTATCGTATTAAAAAGTTAACCAAGGGCCTTAAATCAAATGCAAGCATCACTTAATTTAATTACAAGCTCCACATTATGAAACTGTTTTAACGAACCTCTTTACCTCGGAAGCACAAAGTTCAGAACTTGAAACAACAGCGTTCCCTCTAACCAATTGCTCTAATATTTCAGCAACGGAGTTTTTTAATGGTGACGGTTGGTTAAAGATCACTTAGCTGACATTTAAACTTGATGCCCCTTACATTAATTACTTACTAGTGGAGTGCCCTGCTCTGTTCTTCTCATTCCTCTAAACGCAACAATACTTCAGTTCTTTCATTTCCATAACTCTCTTGTCTCAAGATAATTTGGAACTTTAAAAGTAAAATCACTTAGTAGTAAAATATTTAGATGAAAAGGATTTGAAACTAAATTTGACGATAAGATGTTAAATTGTGAAATTACTCAGTAATTGTATATATTGTCATGTATCTAGGGTTGTGTTATTATTTGACGAGGTTTGGATTGGATTTACTGCACTTATGCACTCAACTCGTAACTACAAATGATAACAGCGCTATCGTTGATATGCACACTTTACAGTTCACCTTTATACACATACTAGGGTTCTCAGTCTTCACTAGTCGTATCCAGGCAACGGATTTCAACACAGTAATTATATCAGTCTCACTTTAACTGCATCACACACGAAATCTCCTTTTCACTGCCTAATTCCTTTTTTTTTTCCATCTCTTCTCAATCATTCGACTGCCAGCTCAAGAGACTCTCTCTATTATTATTTCAGCTGGCCTGGGATCCTCTTTATATAGCCTCGGGGCGGATCCAACAGAAAACACCGTTCCCATCGTAATACCTCAAAAATACCTCTATTATTGCTTGCTTATTCGTTGCCGCGGGGACGTTTTACCGAGTAGTTGCTTAGCATCTACTATGGTTCCGGTATTCCGGTCTTCAGACGTCATGTCACAATATTAATATTAAAAATTAACTGTAGTGCATTTAATTTTAATCTAGTGTCTGGAGTCAAATTTCTATATACGTGCACCTTGGACTGTTTTCTTATTCACTTCGAGTTCAGACACTCCTTCTGAAAAGTTTCGATGCTAACTTCATTGTGCAGAAGTTCATTTTTTTTTTATTTAAAATCTGCTAGTCAAGGAATTCCTTGTGTATTATAGAATCCTAAGTTTCTTCACTAAAACCAATCACTGGATCTTAACCTGAGACAGAAAACCACGGTCCACCCTTTTCCTTTAATATTCATCTTAGTACTATCTTACCACCTAAGCATTTCTTCGAAGAGATCTCCTACCGTCAGACAAAAGTTTTTTGAGCATTTCTCATTTCCTTTAGTTGTCCATCGTATCCTTTCTTCCATTGCCCTTACAAAAATTTGTTGTAGGTCGAGAACCTCGCTGTGTAATGTCGTACATCCATCTGCTATTCCTTTCTCTTTCTCCCTCCGTTTCTCTCTCATTCATACACACACAATTCCAAATATTGTCCTTGGCACTTACTGCTCAAACATTATTTTACGGCGAGAAATCAAGTTTTACACCCAAACAGAATAAGAGATGAAAAGCGTTTCAGAATCGAAAATCATTAACGCATTTCATTCCGAATTTGTACCACTGAAACAATACTGTATAAGGTTCAATAACTTCAAGCACGTAAAAACATTTTCATTGTTTTAGATTCTAAATTTCATTTAACTCTTCGAAGACTCTCTCATCAGAGCAGAAGAAAGAGGTCGCGTAATCGATTGTTTCTTCTGTTATAAGAAAAGCCAACATAAGTGAGTAAAATGGATGCATGATCTGATCACATAAACTGAAGAGAACTCTATCAGATGGCGTTACTCATGATTCTGAGCCGAAGCAACAAAAGACAACAGGCATGGGACACCTACGAAAATTGAGGCGAAAACAGCAAAATAAAGAAATTAAATCGCTCTTACAAACGGTCATTGGATCAGTTCAACATGTAATATGCACAAATTACAGTAATGACAATGCTTATGTCACATCTGAAGGTGAAGTAAAATAAATGTTCGTTAACGAAACCAGCATAAAATTATTCTAACCAATATGTTAGTTAGTGTAGCTGCAACAGGTTTCATTTTCATTACGAAAGAATCCAATTCGAATTATGATTGAGGTGTCTCGTCATTTTCCTCAGCCCTTCCAAGCGAATACCGGAATAAAATTATACCTTGAAATAAGTCATTACAGCCTTCTTCAAAATCCTTACATACTCGTTCTTTATATTCATCTTCCACCTCGTTATACGGTTAAACACTGTTAAGTAACCTGTGAACTAATTAACAATCCAGTCGTAATTTCATAAAGTCAGGCAGAATATGGTATACAATAAATTCATGGAGAACTTCTGACACCTTTCTTCTTCCCCCAAAAATACGGTAATAAATATACTCCTCGAAACAAAGAAGACACGATAAATACTTGATCCGCCAAATGTTGTTTGGTAACAGACTACACTAATAATTTTATTGTAGTACTGAATCTTGGCTTTCTTACCAGAGGCAGTTTGTATATACTACTATTTTGCTTTGTATCCAGTATGATAGAAACATATGACTCTCTTGTTCGTGTTTAACTCGATGGCCGCCTAATTAATAAAGGTTTGTTAACGTGTTACAGCCACAGGAACAACTTTATTTCGGAACAGGATTCAGAGCCCGACTCAGAGTACGTGTTGGAGATGCTGGCCAGACTAGGACAGTCCCTCATCCGCGCCAATGACCTAGAGAAGTAAGTACTTTCTTGCTGGTTCCTCAGACGAAATGCTGACAGTGAAGGTACGGTAAACATCAACGTAACAATGTTCAATAAATGTCTAATAATGTATATATCGATGTGTATCGTGCCCATAAATTTATAAATTAAGCGTAATACGGGACTGATGTAAAATTAAATGTTGATAAAACATTAATATAAATTTGTTCCTCTGCTTAACTAACTAAAGACTACGCCATGAAGGCGTGTGGGTGAGTGGATGTATAGATCAACATTTTCTTGATCTTGGCACTAGTTGGAGGTGAGTGGTCAGCTTCACGCCCCTGCTGCTTTACCCCCAGGGAAAGAGACCCCGGTACCTATTGGATAGGAGGTTATGTGGACCCCCAGAGCCGGTCTGGAACACGTAAAAAAGATAAAATTCTTGACCTTACCGGGACTCGAACCCCGACCCTTCGGTTGTCCAGCCAGTAGCCAGTTAAAATGAAGATATATTTAAAATTATTGCTACATTCCGTCTGCAATGATGTAAAGTTGCCAGTCATTACAAAAGTTATATTGTAATCGCTACATTTCAGATAGAATGTAACAAAAATTCTGATCAATATTAGTAACATAAACAAGTAAAGTAAATATTGTAATCACGAAAACTAAACAACATAAGATAAGCCTTATCTTTAAAAAATTAAATGTTGGTGTCCGTAGTACATGTATTTAGTTTTTACTACATGATAATAAATAAGGTCGTGGGGAACGCGGTCCAGGTTCGATTCAGCATGAACATGTCAGAGTCTAGAGTGATCATTACCTATTTCATCCATTCATTCATCAACGGCTCTGCAGCCCTCTGTTTGGACCTGGCCTCTTCTTCAGTTTCGTAATGTTTTTTACACCGACGGTAGGACTCCTTGGACGGGTGATCAGCCCGGCGCAAAGCCGCTACCTACACACATGACAACACAAACACATTATAAAAGGGCACACAGACGTCCATGCCTTGAGTGGGATTGAAACCCACAATCCCAGCGTTCGAACGAGTGAAGACAGTTCATGCCTTAAGCCGGGCGGCCACTGTGCCCGGCTAATTGCCTATTAAAAATTGTTATTTTTTTTCGTGTACAGCACGTACTTATGAAGGTATCCATTTCCTAATAGTTCCCTCCAAAATGTTGTATGCCTTTCCTACTTTACCCGAACTATGTGTAACCTCCATTACTTCACAACACTAATAATATCAGATAAAAGTAAGTAAAGTAAAGCTATCCCTGTACCAGGCCGTGAAGGCCCGTAGGGTTGAGAGACGTTGAGGGTCCCACATTAAGTAGACAATCGGCTCAAATATGGCGGTCACTTTGTCAGCCTTACGCGCCGGCCGCCCTTTACTGTCCAGGAAAATTATTTAATTAATTCCTGGTACTCATGTCTGTTAACAGCTGAGTCGACCCCAAGGACCATAGTGCGGCTGGAAGGATTAGGTCAATTGAAAAAATCCAATGACCTCATCGGGACTTGAACCCGCGACCTTCCGGCTTGTAGCACAGTCCCTCAACCAACTACGCTACCGTTTGCCCCAATAATATCAGATAACCTATATAAATAATTTTCTGGCTCAGTACCATCTACTTTACCGCATCCAAAATGTTCTTGTCTCAGAATTACGTATTGAAACACGTCTAATTCATATTATTCTGTCAAAGTCAGAGACCATGTTTCACATCCACACACTTCTGTCTTGTGAAATATAGTGTTCAGTATTTCAACTCATACAGTTTATATAGAACAAAAGTTATAAGGAGCTATACAATCATATGAAATCATCAGACTTCTTTGTCGTTGGTGGCAGGCCAATTCTTTGTGACTGCCAATGGTTCTTTGTCACTATCCGTGCCAAGTGCCCCACGCACCGGCCGCACAACATCTTAGGGGCTGAGCAATGATAGCGAGCTTCTAGATTTCTGGCTTCCAGTCCTAGTCTGCGAGATTGTTCTTAGCCCACTACTCTTTCCAAGGAAACATAGTCTTACGGTACATCATGTCTGCTTCCGTCGGTTCCAGTGCGTTATATAATAATTCACTGACTTTCATTAAATTTAGTATGAATCCATTCTGGTAACAATCAAACCGTCTAACATAAAAAATTTAATAATATAATTTCTACGTAGTCTGCAATGCGTTTCCAATTCAGCAGTCACCTTCATGACATGCTTAATTTCAATTATAGCTCTCAAGCCGAAATATAAAAGGTTTTCAGCTTGTAAAATGAAGTTAATCATAAAGTCTCATGGAAATATATCCCACTATAATTGCTCGATATCGTATGGATAATCACATACTAAATTTATTTACATTCCTTACTTTACGACAAAATTAAACCCGTATGTTCATAATTTTTTATCACAAAGACTTTCTTAACCTCCTTAACCTATGAAGAAAGCAGTCTTCTGGGATTTGGCACCGTGTATATGTGGTGTTAACCGACGTTTCGGAGGAACGTATCGCCTCCATCTTCAGGGTAGAAGAAAAAGTATAAGAAATCTGCAAGCGACAAGACCGTGAGAACGGTAAAAGCAGACTGGAAATAACACAGCTGTGTGTGAGCAGAGAGGGAAGGGGGGAAGGGCAAGTATACAAGTGAAAGCAGTGGTGAGGGAGGGGCAGGGGAAGGGAGCTGGGGCAAGCGTGGTTTTGTGTACGGGAGAGTAAAGTAAGGTTAAAGGCTGGGCTCTAAACCGTAAGCTAAGGGGGGGGGGTTGTTATGTTGGTTGGTCATGGCCTTGTGGCCTTCTGGATCTGGCGTCATATCCCGGTAGGGCAGACAGGCCGCTCCGTGGACACGAGGTTGAAGGAGCATCAGCGGCACATCCGTCTCGAACATCCAGACAAGTCGGCCGTAGCTGAACACAGCATCGAACTGGGACACCGCATTCAGCTTCAGAATACCTCCATCCTCGCCACCAAGACGCGCTATATGGATCGCATCATTAGGGAAGCCATTGAGATCGAACTGCATCCAGGGAATATGAACAGAGAGGAGGGGTTTCGTCTCAGCAAGTCTTGGAAACCTCTTATCTGTTCTCTTAAAAAACCCCCACCGGGATATGACGCCAGATCCAGAAGGCCACAAGGCCATGACCAACCAACATAACAACCCCCCCCCCCTCAGCTTACGGTTTAGAGCCCAGCCTTTAACCTTACTTTACTCTCCCGTACACAAAACCACGCTTGCCCCAGCTCCCTTCCCCTGCCCCTCCCTCACCACTGCTTTCACTTGTATACTTGCCCTTCCCCCCTTCCCTCTCTGCTCACACACAGCTGTGTTATTTCCAGTCTGCTTTTACCGTTCTCACGGTCTTGTCGCTTGCAGATTTCTTATACTTTTTCTTCTACCCTGAAGATGGAGGCGATACGTTCCTCCGAAACGTCGGTTAACACCACATATACACGGTGCCAAATCCCAGAAGACTGCTTTCTTCATAGTCACCGCCGTGAAAGCCCCAAATCTTACTCCTTAACCTAATTCATACTTATGTATAGGTCTATAGGCCTACGTATAGAATGATTGTTTTTATATATGTAATAATAATCATAGTTCTGAATATCAATTGTGGTTCTGTATTTTTCGTCTTCTTAGTTCATGGAATGAATCATTAAATAGCGCACGTAGATCATGTAAGCAGTCTTTTTCTGTTGAGTGGAATTCCGATAAGTTATCGAATATAATCATAAAATATCGTGATACTGAAATCAATTATAATTCGTTACACCAGAGGAAATATAAATATACAGTTTCACTGTTTGCTTTTGTTTTGTTTCTGACCTTACGTAATATTGTCGCTTATGGACTGTGTCCTTGTTTGCTTTGTGATAGTAAGAAAACTAAAAACCTAGGTACGCTGCTGGTTTCATCGACTGTACAGGCAGTTGCTCCTATCTGTGTACTGTTGTTGTAACAGTACTCGAAGAGACGGGATTATGATTATAAATATGGTTACCGTTGAGGTGTAAATTGTGTTTCCTAATTTTATTAATGTGACTTTTTAAAAAGTGTAAAATATTTGCCTTTCTTTCTAAAATTTAATATACTCCTATAAAGAATAGCAAACTTTATGGAGCTGAACCCTTCTTGAGAAGCCGACAACTGCGCAAACTCTCAAGATCTTCCCAGCAATTCATGGAACCAGAAGGTTCATATTAGACTTCCACTAGTCCCTATCTTGATCCAGATCAATCCAATCCATACCATTCCATCCTATCTATCAACCCACCTATATTTTGGTCTTCCTAGTGGTCTCTTCCCTTCTGGCTTTACCACCAATATCCTATATGCATTTCACTTTTCCCCCATTCATGCTACATACCCTGCCCATCCTATCCTCTTTGACTTGATCATTCTACTTATACTGGGCGAAAAGTACAAGTTCTGAAACTCCTCGTTATGCAGTCTTCTCCGATCTCCCGTCATTTCATCTCTCTTCGGTACAAATATTCTCCTCAACACCCTGAATATTCTAATTTTTATGTTTTTCGATAGCAGACGAGAAGGCAAACGGTTCTAGACTGAATGGTAGTAATCATTACCTGAATTCAATCTCCTCTTAATTTCTTCCAGAATTAAGTGTGTTTTGTTACTGTAGTTCCCAAATATTTAAACTGTGCCACATTTTCAAAACATCTGTTCCCTATCTTTATATCATAATTTTGCCCTGCATTCTGGTGACGAGACAGCAACATGTACTTAGTTTCTTCTGTGTTTATTTCTAGACCGTCCTCCTTACTACAGACAATCAAAATTTCTGTGTTTCCTTCTTGGTATCTCTGTAATCACCCAGTAGATTCACATCATTAGCACAGACCAGCAGCTGATATGCCCAATTTAATTTCAGTTCCACCTGATTTTTGTGGATCTTCCTAATGGGCATATTCCAAAGGAAAGTTGGAAAGCAGTGGCACTAAAGCATTTCTTTGTTTTAGATCAGTCTGATTAGGAAAATATCAGACAAATATTTACCTACACG